CCATCCCTAGCAGGCTGCAGCTCCTCCAGAGTGGGGGCAGACACAGCACCGCCCTGGCTGACTCCAGGCCCCCTGCCCACCAGGGTCCTCATCTCCAAGGGGCGGCCATGGACTCTGCCAGCACCCGCACGTGTGTGCAGGAAACTGCTCAGTGCAGGGCAGGCCTGGGCCCGAGGCGTCCATGACCAGGAGGTGGGGAGCCCAGCACCCTAGTCTCAGTGCCATAAAGGGCTTTAGGGAGCCCACAAGCTGCCACTTCCACGTGGGTTTCTCTGCTGTGTTGGATGTGGCGCCCATTTCCCAGAAGGCCCCCAGCAGTTTGCTCACCGCCTACAGGAAGCGCCGGGACCCCGAGCCGGCCCTGACAGCGTCGGATCCTGCAGTCTGCACGCGATGCCGGCCCCTGCAGCGACCCGGCCCTGTCCATCAATGAGGAGGCGCTGGCAGCACCTCCACCACTCTGGCGGGTTGGGGTTGGCCCTCCAGCACTGAGGCAGACCTGTGGCTGAAGCACGGGGGCATGGCCCAGACCCCCAGGCCCTGGCCCATGAGGAGGACAAGGCAGACAGACCCGGTGCTGCACAGCGCCTCCGGGAGCAGAGGAGCAGTGGTTGTGGGTGGAGCACCTCCTGCTGCTCACCACGGAGCCCCCAGGGCAGCTCTGTGCACACCTGTCACTGCTCAAAATGCTCAATGCAAAAGCAGAGCTCAGCCCAGGCAGGCAGCAAGGCTGCATGGCTCCCCTCCATGGCCCCACTGTTCTTGAGCCTCAACAGCCAATGGCCGGTTATAGCTCTGCAGGTGGCAGAACAAGCCTGAGTCAGGGACGGGACCCTCAGCAGGTGCGCCTGCAGGGATACCATCACCTGCCATCAGGGTCACCATCCTGTGACAGCCTGCGGGGACAGACGCTCAGCAGCTGACCTACCACAGGGTGACCGCAGAAGCTAGGACTCGCCTGCCCTCGGCGGTGACCTCATCCCAAGAGGAAGAGCCATATCTGCCCGGCGTGAGAGCCCACCAGGAGGGTGGAGCAGGGGGAAGAACAGGGCCAACAGTGGTCACAGCCCTGGGCACTGACCAGGCAACCAGGGAGGGATCTGCTGCCACCTCTGCCCCTGGTCCTTTGCACCCAGCGAGTTAGAACTTCAGAGTGGGCGTGTGTAAGGGAGGACACTGCACGGTGTCTGTGGTTGGGGGAGATTGGAGCCCTGGGGCTGTCCCTGTCAGGAGGGTGGCAGATGCTCACTGGCCATCAGGGGCAGGGTGGGGCCTTCCAGTGGTAAAGGGACTCGGGCGAGGGACGTAGGGCCCTGGGTCAGGGTTCTGTCCTCACATCTGGCACCAGGTCTCCAGGCCATGTCCAGCCCTGATGCCAGGCCCAAGGGCAGGGGCAGGGGCAGTTTGAGTGCAGGGCCCAAGGCTCAGGGAGGCAGGGCACCAGGCCCCAGGTTGCCCTGTGAACCGGCTGCATGGGGTGAGCGCCCCCTACTGGAACCAGGAGAGATGCTGTTGGGCAGTGCTGAGTGCAGGAACCAGGAGGGAGCAGGTACTGCTGGGAAGCTGACTCTTCTCAGCCCAGCCTGAAAATCCCAAGAGGAAGGGGAGGAGGCGGAGCGTCCCTGGGGGGGGGGGTTGGCAGCCCTGTTCCCCCTGAGAGCTCAGGATTCCCGTCACAGCCCCTCTGTGATCAGGGTCGGGCTCCCCAGGGGCTGCACCTGTGCCCGAGACAGGAGCTCCTGCCTGGTGGCTCCTGAACACATCCCAGGAGCCAGGGCCACAGGGCGGTGGGCTGGGCCTCTGCTGCCCTCTGGTGGCCACCCCAAGGCAGTGCCTGCTGGTCCCTCCCTGCTCTCTGCCCATAGATCTCCTGGACTGGGGAGTCTCAGGGGGGCGGAACCTGGGGCTCTCTGGTCTGAGGACGCAGTGTCTGGGCTGTCAGAGCAGCGGCCTCGGGACCAGGTGGAGAACCGCACGTGCATGGAGGAGGGGGTCAGGGCACTGGGGTTGTGACTCTTCCTCGGCCAGACCTGAGCCTCACACCTGTCACAGTGGCCGCCTCTGAGACCCCTGTCTGCCTGTGGCCTGGGTCACAGAGGGGCCCGCCCACCCAGGGAGGGAACAGCACACTGGGCGGTGGGGAGCTGGGTCCTGCTGAGCCCGTTCCGACTCTGTCCCCGTTTCGGCCCCCACTGCTCCTGGCACTGCCCAGCTCCAGGGTCACCTCTGGAGCAGGCTGTGTCCTCTGGGTTGGGCAGGCCAGGATAACCGGGGGTCCCACACGGGGGGACAGGTGGAGCCCAGTGGGAGGGGTAGAGGCAGCACAGGCTCCACCAAGCACCAGGTAGATCCCTTCACCTGCTCTGCAATCGTCCATTCCAGGCGTGGCCCAGGACTACAGGCTGCAGAGAGGAGAAGCCGCAGGGCAACTCCTGACCCAGCGCCCTGGGAGTCTCCCTCCACCCCCTTCCTTCTGTGCACTCGTGTGTCCAATCAGGAGCCCTGGACGGCCGTGGTCAGTAACACAGCTCTGGGCCAGGTGCCGGCATCAAGTCCTGCTTTTCCTCTCCTGCCTCCCGCCAGTGGCTGGGATAAAACTGTGCTGTCTGGGTCTGGGGGCCCAGTTCAGGAGCCTGGTCCAAGTCCATGGCTTCCCGGGAATTTTATTAAACATCTGGTAAGGCTTCCTGTGACATCATGTTTCCATCTAGAGGAGAAAAGAGGTGGCCTGGTGATGTTTTAATGGAGTTATGAATGTCTGAGCACAGAGCCATGTTCTAGGATCTCAGTTATGGGTTCGTTGTTGGCCTTGGGCCCCTGCTGCTGCGACAGTTGGTCCGGGCTCCACTGTGATGGATCAGGGGACATGGGGTGTGGGCGCAGGGTGGAGACTTGGGTCGTCCGCATATACTGGGCCCGCCCCTCTCCTGTCCTGGAGATGGGAAAGATTGGGGGACCCAGGCTGGCTTTGATGATGTGTGGAACCTAAATGAGGGTCTGGGCATTTGTGGGGAATCTGCCTCAGTGGGCGTCACCATGCAATCACTTGGACCTGGGAGAGAACAGGGACGCAGCAGAAGGGAGGGCTCAGGGCTCTCCCCACTCGGGGTCTGAACCCCTGGTTCTGTGGCTTTTCTACCGCGGAGCTCACATCAGTGGGCCCAGAACTGACGGCTGCAGCCTGAGACCCAGAAGGACCCCGGCGGCTCCTGGGTCTTGATCCGGTGGGCTCGTCTGTCCTGGTGCCCACCTCGCAGACCCCGGCCGCTCCTGGGACTTGGCAGCCACCATCACAGGTGAGCCCTACCCTCACACACCTCTTCCCCTGCCCCTCTCTGTGCTGTGGGTCTGACTCCCTGGAGAACCATTTCTGGAGCAGATTCTGGTTCCTCTGGGGACCTTCTCTGGCACACTGGTGAGGAGAAGCTGGGGCTAGGATTTCTGTGGTTCTGGGAGCTTCCATGTGGGGCAGGCATCAAGGGCCTCAGTTTGCCGTCCTCAGAGCGATATTTGGATCCTTGCTATGGACGTGAGATCCAAGAGGGTCCACATGGCTGAGTGTGCAGAGCCCCAGAGCTGCCCCTTGCACAGGCATCCACTGCCAGCTGCCACACTAACGGGGCCGTGGTAGTGGGCGGCTCCTCCTACACTCGCCCCGGGATTAGACCCACCTACTGGCTGGAAGCCACAGAGGCCTGGTATGCCCCTGGGAGATTCAGGTGTTAAGCATTCGGAATACTTTGTATTGACTCGCCCGGGTCACAGGACTGTTGAGCCTGGGCCTGCACTGGTGGGGGGGTTTTATGGGAGAGGAGTTTGGGCACAGCTCAGAGCCGGCCTGGAGCGGACGTGTCCTCCAGAGGCAGGGGGCAGGACCTCGGAGCAGGTCCCCAATCTGTTTCTGCCTTCTCTTGCCAAACACCCGCAGACACCCACGTGTGGACTTGGGGAGCTCTCGGGAGAACAGGTGCCTGCCGAATCTACAAGGTCCCAGGCCGGGCTGAGGGAGTGCGCTCTGGGCTGAGCTGGTGGCCCGGGTGCTGGTGACTCCTCAGCCCAGTGCTGGCAGGAGGGGCCAGGGCCAGGGGTAGCAGACAGAGGGAAGGAGAAGGGGCTTCCTGGAGGCGCTGTGGGCTCTGGCTCTGGCCGTGGGCGTGCGGTCCCGCCCTGGCAGGCTGCAGCTCCTCCAGGGTGGGAGCATACAGCACCGCCCTGGCTGACTCCTGACCCCCACCCCAGGGTCCTCATCTCCAGAGGGGCGGCCTCAGCCTCTGCCAGCACCCGCACGTGTGTGCAGGAAACTGCTCAGCGCAGGGCACGCCTGGGCCCGAGGCGTCCATGACAGGAGGTGGGGAGCCCAGCACTCTGGGGCTCAGTGCTCTGAGGGCTCCGGGGACTCCCACTAGAGGAACCAGGTGATGTCAGCTCCCAGAATCAGTCTCCTGGACGGCGTGTGGGTGCTTCCTTGGAGACCCGTGTGGAGTGTGCCTCATCCTCACTGCCCCAGGCACAGGACCCCATGGCTACTCCGTCCCCCGGGGAGCAGCTGCCTGGGAAGATCTTGTAGCCCTGGGTGGGTGCTACTGATGTCCCTGCAATACCGCCCCTGCTGCCTGCAAAGTGCCTGCATTGTAATTTATGACAGATGTGATGTTGAGAAATGTACATGGAAAATCATCAAGGACTTAGTGTTGGGTTCGGGCACCTGTGGCCACACACGGGGAGTGGAGGGCTGGGAGCCTGGAGGAGGCAGCTTGGAGCCGCACCCGGGCCTGGGATGAGTCCCGGCTCCAGTGCCTGCTGCTGCCACTGCTTGGTTTCCCACCCCCTGGGGCTCTGTTTTTAGGCTCTGTCAAGGTTGCATGAGCAATAGAGCCCCTGTCTTGGAGGATGGCCCCCCCACCCCGGGAGGCACCCAGAATAGTTCCCAACTCTCCTGAGCTCCTGAGTGGTGCTGGGTCCTTAGTGGCCATGGGCAGCCTGGGTGGGGTTCTGGGAGCTGTCAGTGTCTGTGGGTCCTGGGCTATGGGGGAGCTGGCTCCTTCCTGTGACCCCCACTGGCCTTTCCTTTGTCCTTGCCCCTTCTCCTTGCCTCTCTGTCCCTCCCCTGTTGGAGGCCCCGAGCCTGATTTGGGTCTCTCTCCCCTTCTTTGTCCTCAGGGAGACCCAGGAGCAGCCAGGCCGGGAGCACCTGCACCTCCCGGAGTTCCCTCTTGTTCTCCTACACAGGGAAGCCCCAGTGCCTACTGTGGCTGTCTTCCCTTTGCTGACCTCTCGGCTGTGACCCAGCCCAGGACTCCTGGCTCTCTGGGATTCCCACATTCAGTATTGACCTGACCCACCCCCCACACTGGGAAATGGTGGTGGTCATCCTTCCTCCCAGGCTGGGGCCAGAGTGAGTGAGGTTATGGCTGCGAAGCTCCCAGCAGTGGACGAGCCCATAGGCGAGTCCTCAGGGCAGACAGAGACTGTGCTGGGGTCTCCCCCGCGATCCAGGACACCAGGACCTGCAGGAGCCCCCGCTGTGTGTTGCAGTGGATTCATTTCTGGGAGGGAGAGCGCAGTGGGGGCAAGAGGCGCAGAGTCACCACAGACTCCAAGAGTCTGGTGAAAGCAGGCCTGAGGCAGGCAACCTGCAGACTCGTTTATTTCAGGTGCTACAACAGCTTATATAGCCAAGGCAGCCAATCCAGTCAAGGGGAGGTCTATGCCCTAACCAATCACAGCCTGTTGCCAGGCAGTTTCTGAAGCCATCCAATCACAGCCTGTTGCCAGGCGGACTCCACTGTCATGTGGTTTTTGAAACCATCCAATCACAGCCTGTTGCCCGCGGCCATCTTGGCCTGGCCTTCTCAGTCCACCACACCTGCAGGCTCTGTAGGAGAGGTTTCGCCACCAGGTTGCACACTGTGGCCTGTGGGCTGGGCCAGGTCAGTTGTGTTTGCTGTGGGTTTTGTGTACAAAGTTTGTGGTGCTGACAATCTGTCTCCTCTGTCTCCCTCTCTCTGTCCTCTCCATCTATTTGCCTTTGAATAAGTAGTAAATCCTTTTAAAACAAAAAGTGGAGCAGCTGGGACATGTACAGACACTGGTACGGGACGCAGGCCCCGTGAGCCATGGCTTTACAGCTCCGTCACAGCACCGCTGACTTGAGTGACAGAACATTTGATGTAGCGTCGCGATGCCAGTGACGCTGCACCATGGTTTGAGGCGATCATTCAGGGGGTGAAGAGAAAGGAGTGGATACACTGAGTCTGCAAAAGGCAAAATTATGAAAGATGCTAAGACTAGAAATGAAAGGCTTCAAAATATCCTGTAGGGTGTAATTTCAAAACATTAATATCACACTCTTCAACCTAAGAAAGAATGTCTCTTTCTTTTTTTTAAAGTGGAAAGGTTCCTGTGTAAACCAGCAGAGGGCAGCACCTGCTGCGGTTTCCTGCTCTGACATCAGAAGGCACCATTGTGACGTCATGCCCGCTGCCTGCACAAAGCCTTGGCTGGGCCTGGGTTCTGTCATTGGCCCAGGAAGTGCTGTCCCGGTGACCTGGGGCTGGGAACAGCTGCCTGTGTTTCCCTTGTTTTGTTTTTGTTCTTCAAGCTGCTGTTGTTTTAGTCAAATTTGTTTTTTCTTTTTCCATTTTGATTATTTTGTTCTTTTTTCTATTTTGTTTATTTTTTTCCTCCAGCATTTATAGTCTTTTTCCCTTTCTTATTGATTTTCCTTGGATATTTCATTTCCATTTGGATTTTTTCTTCATTTTTTCCATTGGCTTTCCTCCCAGAGTTTGTGATTGTTCTTTATATTTTCTTTATATTTTTTCCCATTTTTGGGTTTCCGGTTTTTCACTTTGAGTTTTTTTCTCTATTCCCCCCCATTTTTAAAATAAGACTGTGAGGCCATCTGCTTTGGTCATTATACAGTTCAGGTTATTTGGATTTTTTCTTTATGCTTTATTATTCATTTATTTTTGTTTTCTTATTTTTAACTGTTTTGATAGGGTTAGTCTCAGTTGTTAGTCTAGTTGAGTTCATTTAGTTCCTGTTTTCTGTTGGTGATGTGAGCTGAGTTCATTTTGTGTTCTGATTTCTGTTCATTTAATTTCTGTTTGTTTCATGTTCGTGTGTTCTCAAGTAGTCAAAGCCGTGAGAGCTGATCTGTGTCAGCTGCTGGCTCAGGGTCTCCCAGACGTCAGCCCTGCTGACCCTTCCTGGGGGAGCCCTGGAGAGGGAGAGGAATCCGGAGGAAGAATCGGATCCTGCTGCTGCTGTTTGGTCAAATTTGTTTTTTCTTTTTCCATTTTGATTACTTTGTACTTTTTCTATTTTATTTTGTTTCCTGCCACCATTCATGTTCATTTTGTGTTTTCTCATTTTAACATTTTCTTCCACTAGAACAGTCTCCGTGGTTGGTGTGATGTAGTGGATACAGTTCATGTTTTCTGTTGGTGACGGGAGCAGAGTGAGTTTGTTCATTTTTGTGTTGTGATTTCTGTTCATTTGATTTCTGTTGTTGCATTTTCATTTGTGCACCACTCGTCTCCCTTCCTGGGAGCCCCGGGAGAGGGAGCAGAATCCCGAGGCCAGAATCGCATCCTGGATGGGGACTTCCCGGGGCGGGACTGACTGCGGTCCCCCAAGCCCTCTGTGTCCCCAGTGGCTCCCGCGTCCCTCAGCAGAGCGGGGCAGGAGGTGTCCATGGCGGCTCCTGGGACCAAGGTGAGAAGGCTGTCAGGTGGGACAGGTGCTGTCTGCACAGGGGAGGGAGAAAGGGTTGTTACTGTGAGATTCAGCCTGCGGGGGACTTTCATCTGTGGGGCCTCAGTGTGCAGGGGAGGTGCAGTGGCAGTGCGGGCCCCTCTGTCCTGTGCACAGGTAACTACTGCCCAGTAAGGGCGGCTCTACAAGGTTTAAGACCCAAAGAAGCCCAGAAACTCGATCTGCACCAGCAAGAAGACTTCCTGTGGAAGGACCTCTTGAAGGTAATGAACTCACCCACAGGAGGGCAGGGTCACCCCAGACAGCCAGGGTGTCCACTGGCTTTGTGTCTGTGTGCAGGGAATGGAGGAGGTGCATAGGGGAGGGGGCGGGTGGGACTCACACTGATGCCCATGGGCCCTCATTGGTCAGGGGTGAGTACAGAGGGGCTGCGGGCTTCACCCCTGTGGTTTCTGGAGGCTCCAGCAGCATCAGCCATACCGTGTGGGCTTGCTGTGTGCAGCTCTGTACCAGGGTCTAAGGAGGGGAGAGGCCGCGGCAGCTCCTGACAGGCCCCAGGCTGCAGCAGCCGGGGGTCCCTCTCCTGAGACGTGGAGCCGAGGTCTCGGCACTGCTCGTCCTTGCCCTCTGCCCCAGCCCTGACCAGGCAGTGTGGCCAAGCGCCTAGGAGCATCCTCACCGCCATCCCATCCTCAGGACAGAGAGACTGCCCCGGGGTCTCCATGGGAGATGCAGCAGCTCCCACCTGGACAAGGGAGCGCAGACGCTGGGCAGGTGGAGGTGGGGCTGCCAGATGCAGGGAGACCGTGTCCTGGGCGTTTCTGTCCTTCCTGCAGGCCATGGCTCCTGTGCCGGAGGCCCCTGGCCCATTCCCCATGGGCGTGGACGGAGGGGAGCGCATCTGCTTCTCTCTGAGACTCAGACGTCCGGGTCCCGTCCCTCCTGAGAGCGCCTGACCTTCGAGTCGGGCCCTTCAGTCCTTGGAGCCTGAACGTGCCTCCCTGGGAGATGGGTGTCTCTGAGGACCACAGTGGCCCCTTGAGTCTTGCACACAAGGTCCTGCACAGTGGCCGACCGGCGATGAGCACGTGAGAGAGGGGACCCCTGTGGCTGCCGGCCTCGGAGGTTCCTGCTGTGAGCTGTAGAGCAGGCCAGCAGTTGGGGCTGTGCTGGGGCCTGGCAGGGGCGCTGGCATCACTACAGCTCTGTGCTGCCAGCACTGCCTCCCCGTGTCTGTCCTCGGGTGGCAGAGGCCCAGGGTGGGCATCTCCTCTGGCTTGGATGAGGCACCTGCCACCTCCCTGCTGGTCTGTGGGTTTCGGCACCATTCAAAGTTCCTTGGGGTCTCAATGGGACAGGAACCAGGGACCAGGCCATGGCATGACAGGGCCGTGTTCTCCCCTTGTCAGCTTCTCCCTGCCCCAGCCCTCTGACCTCTCTAATCCAAGAGGGCCCTGGGGTCACCAAAGGGTCTACACGGCAGATGCTGCAGCAGAGCTATGTCTCTGGTGACCCAGGTCTCCTCGAACTTCCAGGGGAATACGACTCCAGGACTTCCATCTTGAGAATCCTTCCATCTGTGCTCTCCTGCGTAGAATGTCCCTCATCCTCGCTGCCCCAAGGACAGGACCATGTAGCTTCTCTGGCTGCCCCCAGGTCACCACGATCCTCCACAGCAAGATGGACTGCAAGATGCCCAGCTTAGAATCCTCGCCCTTCCAGAAGAGGTGTTAAATGTCCCTCGTCCTCGCTGCCACCAGGACAGGACCCCGTGGCTTCTCTGGCTCCCCACAGTCACCACCATCGTCCTAAGGAAAATGAACTCGGACACGCCCAGCCTCAGAATCCTCGCCCTCCCAGAAGAGGTGTTGAATGTCCCTCGTCCTCGCTGCCCCAAGGACAGGACCCTGTGGCTCCTCTGTCCCCGGGGAGCAGCTGCTGCCTGGGAAGAACCTCGTTGCCTCTGTTGGTGCCCATGGATTGCCCTGCACTACTGCCTCTGTGCCTACATGTTAACAGATTTTTAAGTTTAAAAGAAATCCATTAGGTCAATAAATAGTGGCTGGAGAAACATGAAGGCCTCAGTGTGGGTTCGGGCACCTGTGCTCATACACGGGGAGCGGAATGCTGGGAGCCTGGAGGAGGCAGCTTGGAGCCGCGCCCGGGGCCTGGGCTGAGTCCCGGCTCCAGTGCCCGCGGCTGCCACTGCCATTTTTTGCCACCCGCTGGGGCTCTGTTTCTGGCTCTGTCAAGGGGGTGTGAGTGACAGGAGCACTTGCCTCCAAGGAAGCACCCGGAACAGCACCAGACTCCCCTGGCTGCTGGGTAGGGCTGGTCCTTAGAGGCCTTGATGTCTGGTGGGGTTCTGGGAGCTGTCAGCCTCTGTGGGTCCTGGGCTGTGGGGGAACTGGCTCCTTCCTGTGACCCCCACTGGCCTTTCCTTTGTCCTTGCTCCTTCTCCTTGTCTCTCTGTCCCTCCCCTGTTGGAGGCCTCAAGCCTGATTTGGGGCTCTCTCTCCCCTTCTTTGTCCTCTCTTCCTATCCAGTCCAGGTGGCTGCTGTTCCTCCCCTGACCTGGGAGCCCTGGGGTCAGAGCCCTGGGGGTCAGCATCCGGGAGCAGATGCCAGCACCTGGCTCAGGGCTCAGGTTCAGAGACAACTCTTTCCCAGGGCTGAAGGAAGCTCCTTAGGCCAGGTCCGTGGAGTGGAGTCCATGTGAGGACAGCATTATCACAGAGAAATGGTCACGAGTCAGGCAGCTCCCAGAACTGGAGCAGGTGCTGAGGACCCCACTCCATGACAGGTGCGACAGGTTTGCTGGACAGCAGGAAGTGAGGTGGGGAGATCAGCACCAGGGCTCCAGTTCAGTCCCCACACCTGCCAGTCGGGCACCTCTTAACTAGTTAATTGCTCACTGCCTAATTAGTGAACTGGATACTGACACTAGTGCCACCAGCGACAACACAGTGCCTGGATGAAGCTGTTTAGGTTGGGTCTTGGGCCCAGTGCAGGTCCTGGCCAAGTCCGTGATTCCAGTGAATTTATTTAGCTCCTGGTAAGGCTTCCCGAGACGCTGTTCTTCCTTTTAGAGATAGAAGAGGTGGCTGGGTGACCTTTTAATTGAATTATGAACGTCAGAGCGCAAAGCCGTGTTGGAGGATCATGGTTCGCGACTCCTTGTTGACCCTGGCCGATGACCTGTGACAAAAGGAACTTCCTTAGGCCAATTACATTGCGTGGTGTTTGAGAAGAGCATAAAACACAAATGATACAAGAATCGGGCAGCTCCCAGAACTGGAGCAGGTTCTGAGGTCTCTAGTAAATGACGGGTGCACAGCATTACTGGAAACCGGGACGTGCGGTCCAGAAATCAGCACCATGCTCCAGTTCAGTCCCCACACCTGCCGGTCGGTCACAGCTCAACTAGCTAATTGCTCGCAGCTGAATTAGTAAACTCGATAGCGGGCCTTTTGCAGCCCACCACAGCACAGCGCCTGGATGAAGCCGTCCTGGCATGAAACCTGGAGCCTGTGCCTTGGTTGGGGTGGGGGGATTTCAGGGGTGTGAGGTTGTCCGTGGCTAGGAGCAGGCCAGGGACTGTGGGTGTCCTCTTGGGGTAGGAGCAACAAGACCTTTGATTAAGCCCCAAGTTTGGTTCTGCCTTGGCAAAGCCCAGTCCCCTCCATACCCAAACATGGACGTGGGGGGTCCTCAGGAGAACGAGTGCCTGCTGGGTTCAAGTGTAGTGCCAGCCCGAGGGAAGCCCCCGAGTGAGCTCTGGGCTGAGCTGATGGCCCGGGTGCTTGGGACTCCTCCACCCAGGACTGGCAGGAGGGGCCAGGGCACAGCCAGCAGACAGAGGGAGGGAGAAGGGGCTTCCTGGGGCCCGGGTGGGTTCTGGCTCTGGCCATGGGAGTGTGGTCCTGACTTAGCAGGCTGCAGCTCCTCCAGGCAGGGAGCCAACACAGCACGGCCCTCCTGAACTGTGCTTCCGGGGGCTCATCTCTGCAGGGGCGGCCTCAGCCAGCTTGTGTGTGCAGGAAACTGCTCAGCACACGGAACGCCTGGGCCCCAGGCATATGTGAGCAGGAGGTCGGGGAGCCCAGCACCCTGGGTCTCAGTGCCATAACGGGCTTTAGGGAGCCCACGAGCTGCCACTTCCACGTGGGTTTCTCTGCTTTGTTGGATGTGGTGCCCATTTCCTGGAAGGTCCCCACCATCGTGTTCACGGCCCTCAGGAAGCGCCGGGACCCTGAGCCGGCCCTGCCAGCATCGGATCCTGCAGTCTACAGCGATGCCATCCACCTGCAGTGACACAGCCCTGTCCATCAGTGAGGAGGCGCTGGCAGCACCTCCACCGCTCTGGCGGGTTGGGGTTGGCCCTCCAGCCCTGAGGCAGACCTGTGGATGTGGTGTGGGGGCGTGGCCCAGACCCCCAGGCCCTGGCCCATGAGGAGGACAAGGCAGACAGACCTGGTGCTGCACAGCGCCTCCAGGAGCAGAGGAGCAGTGGATGTGGGTGGAGCACCTCCCGCTGCTCACCACGGAGCCCCCGAGGGCAGCTCTGTGCACCCCTGTCACTGCTCAAAATGCTCACTCCAAAGGCAGAGCTCAGCCCAGGCAGGCAGCAATGAACTTGGCCCACGTTGCCCTAGGACTCAACAGCAAATGCCAGTCATAGCTCTGTAGTTAGCAGAACAAGTCTGAGTCAGGGACACAACCCACAGCAGGTGCACCTCCAGGGACACCATCACCTGCCATCAGGGTCACCATCCTGTGACAGCCTGCGGGGACAGACGCTCAGCAGCTGATCTACCACAGGGTCACTGCAGAAGCTAGAACTCGCCTGCCCTTGGCAGTGACCTCTTCCCAAGAGGAACAGCCAATCCACGAGGGGTGAGCACCCCACCAGGAAGTGGAGCAGAGGAAAGAACAGACCAACAGCGGTCACAGCCCTGGCACTGACCAGGCCACCAGGGTGGGATCTGCTGCCACCTCTGCCCCTGGTCCTTTGCACCCACCGAGTTAGAACTTCAGAGTGGGCGTGTGTAAGGGAGGCCACTGCACGGCGTCTGTGGTTGGGGGAGATTGGAGCCCTTGGGCTGTCCCTGTCAGGAGGGTGGCAGATGCTCACTGGCCCTCAGGGGCAGAGTGGGGCCTTCCAGTGGTAAAGGGACTCTGGTGAGGGACGTGGGGCCCCGGGGTCAGTGTTCTGTCCTCACATCTGGCACCGTGTCTCCACCCATGTCCAGCCCTGATGCCAGGCCCAAGGGCAGGGGCAGCCTGAATGCAGGGCCCAAGGCTCAGGGAGGCAGGGCACCAGGCCCCAGGTTGCCCTGTGAACTGGAAGCATTGGGTGGGCACCCCCTGCTGGGTCCCTGGAGAGGTGCTGTTGGGCAGTGCTGAGTTAAGGCCCAGGAGGGAGCGGGCACTGCTGGGAAGCTGACCCTTCTCAGCCCAGCCCGAAAATCCCAAGAGGAAGGGGAGGAGGCGGAGCGTCCCTGGGAGGGGGTTGGCAGCCCTGTTCCCCCTGAGAGCTCAGGATTCCCGTCACAGCCCCTCTGTGATCAGGGTCAGGCTCCCCAGGGGCTGCACCTGTGCCCGGGACAGGAGCTCCTGCCTGGTGGCTCCTGAGCACATCCCAGGAGCCAGGGCCACAGGGGGGTGGGCTGGCCTCTGCTGCCCTCTGGTGGCCAGCCCAAGGCAGTACCTGGTCATCCCTGCCTGCTCTCTGCCCATCAATCTCCTGGACTAGGGAGTCTCAGGGTACGGAACCTGGGGCTCTCTGGTCTGAGGACGCAGTGTCTGGCCTGTCAGAGTGGCGGCCTCGGGACCAGGACAGGCCTTAGGACTGTCTGCCTGTGGCCTGGGTCACAGAGGGGCCCGCCCACCCGGGTAGGGAACAGCACACTGGGCGGTAGGGGGCCAGGTCCTGCTGAGCCCGTTCCCGTCTCTGACCCCGTTTCGGCCCCCACTGCTCCTGGCACTGCCCAGCTCCAGGGTCACCTCTGGAGCAGGCTGTGTTCTGGGGGTGGGCAGGCCAGGATAACCGGGGGTCCCACACGGGGGGACAGGTGGAGCCCAGTGGGAGGGGCAGCGGCAGCACAGTCTCCACCAAGCATGGGGTGGATCCCTTCACCTGCTCTGCAATCGTCCGTTCTAGTCGTGGCCCAAGACTGCACGCTGCAGAGAGGAGAAGCCTCAGGGGAACTCCTGACCCAGTGCCCTGGGAGTCTCCCTCCACCCCCTTCCTTTTGCGCACTCATGTGTCCAATCATGAGCCCTGGACGGGGTCAGTAACACAGCTCTGGGCCAGGCTGCCAGTGTCCGGTCCTGCTTCTCCTCTCCCTGCCTCCCCTCACAGTGGCTGGGATGAACCTGTGCTGTCTGGGTCTGGGCCCAGTTCAGGAGCCTGGTCCAAGTCCATGGCTTCCTGGGAATTTTATTAAACACCTGGTAAGGCTTCCTGTGACATAATTTTTCCGCCTAGAGAAGAAAAGAGGTGGCCTGGTGACGTTTTAATGGAGTTATGAACGTCTGAGCACAGAGCCGTGTTTTAGGATCTCAGTTATGGGATCGTTCTTGACCTTGGGCAGCTGCTGCTGGACGGTAGGTCCGGGTGCCGCTGTGACTGGATCAGGGGACATGGGGTGTGGGCGCAGGGTGGAGATCCAGGGCATCAGCACACACTGGGCCCGCCCCCCTCCTGTCCTGGGGATGGGCAAGACTGGGCGACCCGGGCCAGCTTTGACGGTGTGTGGAGCCTCAATGAGAGAGCCAGATCACGCGTTGGGATGCCCATCTGAGTGGCAGCACCGTACAATCAGCCTGGACCTGGGAGAGAACAGGGCTGCAGAAGATGGAGGGCTCAGGGCCCTCGTGCAGCCTGTGGGTCTCCGTTCCCCCCCTCAGGGTCTGAACCCCAGGTTCTGTGGCTTTCCTATCACGGAGCTTGCACCAGTGGGCCCGGGACTGACGGCTGCAGCCTGAGACCCAGAAGGACCCCGGCGGCTCCTGGGTGCTGTGGACTCCGTCTGCGCCCGCTCCCAGCTCTCCTGGTTTCCCACCTCGCAGATGGGTCCTCCTGGGACTTGGCAGCCTCCATCACAGGAGAGCCCCTTCCCCTAGCAAACCCCTTCCCTGCACCCTTCTCAGTGCTGTGAGTCTGACCCCCTGGAGAACCTGGAGCAATTCTGAATCATCTGGGGACCTTCTGGGCACACTGGTGAGGAGAGGGTGGGGCTGGGATTTCTGAGGTTCTGGGAGCTCCCAGGTGGGTGGGGGGCAAGGACCTCAGTCAGGTGTCCTCAGAGCCTCTGTGGATCCCTGCTCTGGACCGTGAGAACCAAGAGGGCCCAGGTGGCTGTGTGGATGGAGACCTGGGAGCTGCCCCTTGCACAGGCGTCCACTGACCAGCTGCACACTAATGGGGCGTGGTAGCGGGCGGCTCCTCCCACACTCGCCCCGGGATTAGAACCAGCTGCGGGCTGGAAGGAGCAGTCCGTGCATCTCCCCGGGGAAATTCAGGTGTTAAGCATTAGGAATATTTTATATTGAATCACCTGGGTCCCAGGACAGGTTGCGCCTGGGTCTTGCGGTGGTGTGGGGATTTCATGAGTTGTGAGCATGGGCATTGCTAGGAGCAGGCGTGGGCTGAGGGTGTCCTCTTGGGGCAGGGGCAGCAGGACCACTGATTAGGCCCCAGTTAGTTTCTGCCTCGTCATATTCCAGTCCCCTCTGACACCCACACGTGGACGTGGGGAGGTCTCAGGAGAACGGGTGCCTTCTGGGTCTGCAAGGTGCAGGGCCACCCTGAGGGCAGGACCAGGAGTGCGCTCTGGGCTGAGCTGGTGGCCTGGTGCTTGTGCCTCCTGTGCCCAGGGCTGGCAGGAGGGGCCAGGGCCACGGGCAGTGGAGAGAGGGGGATGCACAGGTCTTCTGTGTGTCCTGTGTGCTGTGGCTGTGGGCGTGCGGTCCCGCCCTGGCAGGCTGCAGCTCCTCCAGGGTGGGGGCAGACACAGCACCGCCCTGGCTGACTCCTGCCCCCCACCCCAGGGTCCTCATCTCCAGAGGGGCGGCCTCGGCCTCTGCCAGCACCCACACGTGTGTGCAGGAAACTGCTCAGCGCAGGGCACGCCTGGGCCCGAGGCGTCCATGACAGGAGGTGGGGAGCCCAGCACCCTGGGGCTCAGTGCTCTGAGGGCTCCGGGGACTCCCACTAGAGGAACCAGGTGATGTCAGCTTCCAGAATCTGTCGCCTGGACGGCGTGTGGGTGCTGCTCTTGGAGACCCGTGTGGAGTGTGCCTCGTCCTCACTGCCCCAGGCACAGGACCCCATGGCTTCTCCGTCCCCCGGGGAGCAGCTGCTGCCTGGGAAGAACTTGTAGCCCTGTGTGCGTGCTCACGAATTGTCAGGACTCAGTGACCATAATGGGCACCTGTGGTCACACAAGGGGAGTAGAGTGCTGGAGCCTGGACAGGCAGCTTGGAGCTGCGCCTGGGCCTGGGTGGGTCCCAGCTCCAGTGCCTGCTACTACCTTGGTTTCCCAACCCCTGGGTCTCTGTTTCTAGGCTCTGTCAAGCTTGCATGAGCAATAGGAGCCCATGCCTTGAAGGGTGGCCCCCCACCCCGGGAAGCAGCCAGAATAGTTCCCAACTCTCCTGAGCTCCTGAGTGGTGCTGGGTCCTTAGGGGCCATGGGCAGCCTGGGCGGGGTTCTGGGAGCTGTCAGTGTCTGTGGGTCCTGGGCTATGGGGGAGCTGGCTCCTTCCTGTGCCCCCCACTGGCCTTTCCTTTGTCCTGACCCTTCTCCTTGCCTCTCTGTCCCTCCCCTGTTGGAGGCCCCGAGCCTGATTTGGGGCTCTCTCTGCCCTTCTTTGTCCTCAGGGAGACCCAGGAGCAGCCAGGCCAGGAGCACCTGCACCTCCCAGAGTTCCCTCTTGTTCTTCTGCCACAGGGAAGCCCCAGTGCCTACTGTGGCTGTCTTCCCTTTACTGACCTCTCGGTCTACCCCAGCCCAGGACTCCTGCCTCACTGGGTGTCCCATATTGATCTTGTATGGACCTGACCACTTCCCCACGCTGGGAAATGGTGGTGCTCAAACTACTGCCCAGTTTGGGAGGGGCCAGAGTGAGTGAGGTTATGGCTGCGAAGCTCCCAGCAGTGGACGAGCCCATAGGCGAGTCCTCAGGGCAGACAGAGGCTGTGCTGGGGTCTCCCCCGAGATCGGGGACACCAGGTCCTGCAGGAGCCCCCCACCCCCTGCATGTTGCAGTGGATTCATTTCTGGGAGGAGGAGTGTGGTGGGGGCAAGAGGCGCAGAGTCACCACACAGACCCTGGGTGTTGGGTGAGAGCAGGCCTGAGAGAAGCAGCCTGCAGACTGGTTTATTTCAGGTGCTACAACAGCTTATATAGCCAAGGCAGCCAATCCAGTCAAGGGGCAGTCTATGCCCTAACCAATCACAGCCTGTAGCCAGGCAGTTTCTGACGCCATCCAATCACAGCCTGTTGCCAGGCAGACTCCATTGTCATGTGGTTTTCGAAACCATCCAATCACAGCCTGTTGCCCGCGGCCATCTTGGCCTGGCCTTCTCAGTCCACCACACCTGCAGGCTCTGTAGGAGAGGTTTCCCCACCAGGTTGCACACTGTGGCCTGTGGGCTGGGCCAGGTCAGTTGTGTTTGCTGTGGGTTTTGTGTACAAAGTTTGTGGTGCTGACAATCTGTCTCCTCTGTCTCCCTCTCTCTGTCCTCTCCATCTATTTGCCTTTGAATAAGTAGTAAATCCTTTTAAAACAAAAAGTGGAGCAGCTGGGACATGAACAGACACTCACACGGGACGCAGGCCCCGTGAGCCGTGGCTTTACAGCTCCGTCACAGCACCGCTGACTTGAGTGACAGAACATTTGATGTAGCGTCGCGATGCCAGTGACGCTGCACCATGGTTTGAGGCGATCATCCAGGGGGTGAAGAGAAAGGAGTGGATACACTGAGTCTGCAAAAGGCAAAATTATGAACGATGCTAAGACCAGAAATGAAAAGGGTTCGAAATATCCTACAGGGTTTAATTTCAAAACACTAAAATCACACCCTCTCTCAACCTAAGAAAGAATTTCTTTCTCTCTCTCTCTCTCTCTTTTTTTTTTTTTTTTAAAGTGGCAAGGTTCCTGTGCAAACCAGCACAGGGCAGCACCTGCTGCGGTTTCCTGCTCTGACATCAGAAGGCGCCATTGTGACGTCATGCCCGCTGCCTGCACAAAGCCTTGGCTGGGCCTGGGTTCTGTCATTTGCCCAGGAAGTGCTGTCCCGGGGACCTGGGGCTGGGAACAGCTGCCTGTGTTTCCCTTGTTTTGTTTTTGTTCTTCCTGCTGCTGTTGTTTTAGTCAAATTTGTTTTTTGTTTTTCCATTTTGATTATTTTGTTCTTTTTTCTATTTTGTTTATTTTTTTTCCTCCAGCATTTATAGTCTTTTTCCCTTTCTTATTGATTTTCCTTGGATATTTCATTTCTTATTTGGATTTTTTCTTCATTTTTTTTCCTTGGCTTTCCTCTAGTTTGTGGTTGTTCTTTACATTTTCTCCCATTTTTGGGTTTCCGGTTTTTCATTTTGAGTTTTTTTCTCTATCCCCCCCCCCCCCATTTTTTAAAATAAGACTGTGAGGCTGTCTGCTTTGGTCATTATACAGTTCAGGTTCTTTGGATTTTTTCTTTATGCTTTATTATTCATTTATTTTTGTTTTCTTACTTTTAACTGTTTCGATAGGGTTAGTCTCAGTTGTTAGTCTAGTTGAGTTCATTTAGTTCATGTTTTCTGTTGGTGAGGTGAGCTGACTTTGTCCATTTTGTGTTTTGAGTTCTGTTCATTTGATTTCTGTTTGTTTCATGTTCGTTTGTGCTCAAGTTGTCTGAGCAGTGAGAGCTGATCTGTGTCAGCTGCTGGCTCGGGTCTCCCAGACGTCAGCCCTGCTGACCCTTCCTGGGGGAGCCCTGGAGAGGGAGAGGAATCCGGAGGAAGAATCGGATCCTGCTGCTGCTGTTTGGTCAAATTTGTTTTTTCTTTTTCCATTTTGATTACTTTGTACTTTTTCTATTTTATTTTGTTTCCTGCCATTTTGTGTTTTCTCATTTTAACATTTTATTCCACTAGAACAGTCTCCGTTGTTGGTCTTGTGTAGTACACACAGTTCATGTTTTCTGTTGGTGACGGGAGCAGAGTGAGTTTGCTCATTTTTGTGTTGTGATTTCTGTTCATTTGATTTCTGTTGTTGCATTTTCATTTGTGCACCACTCGTCTCCCTTCCTGGGAGCCCCGGGAGAGGGAGCAGAATCCCGAGGCCAGAATCGCATCCTGGATGGGGACTTCCTGGGGGGGCGGGACTGACTGCGGTCCCCCAAGCCCTCTGTGTCCCCAGTGGCTCCCGCGTCCCTCAGCAGAGCGGGGCAGGAGGTGTCCATGGCGGCTCCTGGGACCAAGGTGAGAAGGCTGTCAGGTGGGACAGGTGCTGTCTGCGCAAGGGAGGGAGAAAGGGTTGTTACTGTGAGATTCAGCCTGCAGAGACCTTTCATCTGTGGGGCCTCAGTGTGCAGGGGAGGTGCAGTGGCAGTGCGGGCCCCTCTGTCCTGTGCACAGGTAACTACTGCCCAGTCCGGGTGGCTCTACAAGGTTCAAGACCCAAAGAAGCCCCAGAAACATGATCTGCAGCAGCAAGAAGACTACCTGTGGAAGGACCTCTTGGTGGTGAGGGACTCACCCACAGTGGGGCAGGGTCACCCCAGACAGCCAGGGTGTCCACTGGCTTTGTGTCTGTGTGCAGGGTATGGAGCAGGTGCATAGAGGAGGGGGGAAGGACTCACACTGATGCCCTTGGCCCTCCTTGGTCAGGGGAGAGTGCAGAGGGGCTGTGGGCTTCACCCCTGCGGGTTCTGGAGGCTTCATCAGCATGAGCCATACCGCATGGGTGCTGGCTGTGTGCAGCTCTGTACCAGGGTCTAAGGAGGGGAGAGGCCGCGGCAGCTCCTGACAGGCCCCAGGCTGCAGCAGCCGGGGGTTCCTCTCCTTAGACGTGGAGCCGAGGTCTCGGCACTGCTCTTCCTTGCCCTCTGCCCCAGCTCTGGGCCAGGCAGTGTGGCCAAGCACCTAGGAGCATCCTCACCACCATCCCATCCTCAGGACAGACAGACTGCCCCGGGGTCTCCACGGGAGATACAGCAGCTCCCACCTGGACAAGGGAGCGCAGACGCTGGGCAGGTGGAGGTGGGGCTTCCAGGTGCAGGGAGACCGTGTCCTGGGCATTCTGTCCTTCCTGCAGGCCATGGCTCTGTGCCGTAGGCCCCTGGCCCATTCCCATGGGCGTGGATGGAGGTGAGCGCATCTGCTCCTCTGAGACTCAGACGTCCGGGTCCCGTCCCTCCTGAGAGCCCCTGACCTTCGAGCCAGGCCCTCAGTCCTTGGAGCCTCAACGTGCCCCCTGGGAGATGGGTGTCTCTGAGGGCCACAGTGGCCCCATGAGTCTTGCACACCAGGTCCTGCACGGTGCCCGACGGGGGGTGAGCACGTGAGAGAGGGGACCCCTCTGTGGCTGCCGGGCTCGGAGGTCCCTGCCGTGAGCTGTAGACCAGGCCAGCAGCCAGGGCTGTGCTGGGGCCTGGCAGGGGCACTGGCATCACTACAGCTCTGTGCTGCCAGCACTGCCTCCCCGTGTCTGTCCTTGGGGGGCCGAGCCCCAGGGTGGGCATCTCCTCTGGCTTGGATGAGGCACCTGCCACCTGCCTGCTGGTCTGTGGCCTTGTCACCAGTTTGCGCTGCGGTCTCAAAGGGACAGGAACCAGGGACCAGGCCATGGCATGACAGGGCCATGTTCTCCCCTTGTCAGCTTGTCCCTGCCCCAGCTCTCTGACCTCTCTAATCCAGGGGGTCCTGGGGCGACCAAAGGTTCTACACGGCAGATGCTGGGGCAGAGCTATGTCTCTGGTGACCCAGGTCTCCCCATCTTCCACGGGAAGACGGACTCCAAGACTTCCAGCTCAGAATCTTTGCCTCTGAGGTCTCCAGGAGTAGAGTGTCCTTCTTCCTCGCTGCCCCAAGGACAGGACCCCGAGCTTCTCTGCCTGCCCCCAGGTCACCACGATCGTCCACAGGAAGATGGACTCTGAGACGCCCAGCTCAGAATCCTCGCCCTTCCAGAAGAGGTGTTGAGTGTCCCTCTTCCTCGCTGCCCCCAGGACAGGACCCTGTGGCTTCTCTGGCTGCCCCCAGGACCAAACGATCTACCACCACGAGAAGGACTCCTAGACCCCCAGCTTCCAAATCCTCGCCCTCTAGGAACAGGTGTTGAATGTCCTTCGTCCTCGCTGCAAACAGGAGAGGACCCCGTGTCTTCTCTGCCATCCCCCAGGTCACCACGATTGTCCAAAGAAAGATGGACTCTGAGACGCCCAGCTTAGAATCCTCGCCCTTCCAGAAGAGGTGTAGAATGTCGCTCGTCCTCGCTGCCCCCAGGACAGGACCCCATGGGTTCCCTGGCTGCCCCCCAGGTCACCACAATCATTAAAGGAAGAAGCACTCCGAGACACCCAGCTTTGGAATCCTCGCCCTTGCTGAAGAGGTACTGAATGTCCCTTGTCCAAGCTGCCCCAAGGACAGGACCCTGTGGCACCTCTGGCTGCCCCGATGATCGTCCACCGGAAGATGGTCTCCAAAACGCCTAGCTTCAGAATCCTCGCCCTTCCTGAACAGGTGTTGAATGTCCTCTTCCTCACTGCCCCAAGGACGGGACCCCGTGGATTCTCTGTCTGCCCCCAGGTTACCACAACCGTCCACTGGAAGATGAACTCCAGGACGCCCAGCTTAGAATCCTCACCCTTCCAGAAGAGGTGTTGAATGTCCCTCATCCTCGCTGCCCCAAGGTCAGGACCCCGTGGCTGCTCTGTCCCCGGGGAGCAGCTGCTTCCTGGGAAGAACCTCGTTGCCTCTGTTGCTGCCCATGGATTGCCCTGCACTACTGCCTCTGTGCCTGCAAGTTAACTGATTTATGGTTTAAAGGAAATCCATTAGGTCAATAAATAGTGGCTGGAGAAACATGAAGGACTCAGTGTTGGTTCGGGCACCTGTGCTCACACACGGGGAGCGGAGTGCTGGAGCCTGGAGGAGGCAGTTGGAGCCGTGCCCGGGCCTGGGCTGAGTCCCGGCTCCAGTGCCCACGGCTGCCACTGCCTTGGTTTCCCACCCCCTGGGGCTGTTTCTGGCTCTGTCAAGGGGGTGTGAGTGACAGGAGCACCTGCCTCCAAGGAAGCCCCCGGAACAGCACCAGACTCCCCTGGCTGCTGGGTAGGGCTGGGTCCTTAGAGGCCTTGATGTCTGGTGGGGTTCTGGGAGCTGTCAGCCTCTGTGGGTCCTGGGCTGTGGGGGAGCTGGCTCCTTCCTGTGACCCCCACTGGCCTTTCCTTTGTCCTTGCCCCTTCTCCCTGCCTCTCTGTCCCTCCCCATTGGGAGCCCCCGAGGGCTCTCTCTCCCCTTCTCTGTCCTCTGTTCCTGTCCAGTCCAGGTGGCTGCTGTTCCTCTCCTGACCTGGGAGCTCTGGGGTCAGAGCCCTGGGTGTCAGCATCCGGGAGCAGATGCCAGGACCTGGCTCAGGGCTCAGGTTCAGAGACAACTCTTTCCCGGGACCGAAGGAAGCTCCTTAGGCCAGGTGCATGGAGTGGAGTCCATGTGAGGACAGCATTATCACAGAGAAAGTTCATGAGTCAGGCAGCTCCCAGAACTGGAGCAGGTGCTGAGGACCCCACTCCATGACAGGTGCCACAGCATTGCTGGAAAACAGGAAGTGAGGTGGGGAGATCAGTACCAGGGCTCCAGTTCAGTCCCACACCTGCCAGTCAGGCACCACTTAACTAGTTAATTGCTCACAGCCTAATTAGTGAACTGGATACAGGGCCTTGTGCCTCAGCCGCAGCACAGTGCCTGGATGTAGCCATCTGAGTTGGGTCTTGGGCCCAGTGCATGTCCCTTATCCAGTCCATGGCTTCCCATGAATTTTATTTAACATCTGGCAAGGCTTCCCGTGACGTTGTCTTCTGTCTAGAGGTAGGAAGAGGTGGCTGGGTGACGTTTAATTGAATTCTGAAATCGGAATACAAAGCCTTGTTTTAGAAACTCAGTTCTGCGGATCTAGTTGACCCTGGCCGGCGTACTGGGACGGTTGTTGCGGACAACCAATGACTGGATCTGGGGAGGCAGGGGGAGCTGGGCCCGGGGTGGAGCCTCAGAGCCCCTGCAGGTGCTGAGCCCCCCTCTCCTGCCCCAGAATGGGAAAGACTGAGCACCCGGGGTGTCTGTGAGTTTCTGTGGGGTCCAGATGAGCGTGTCCAACACCATGGGTATCCGCTCTCGCCGTGGGCAGCACCACCCAGCCCACCCAGAACTCGGAGAGAACAGGGCCGCAGGGCAGGGGCAGCTCGGGGCTCTCATGGAGCCTGCGCGTCTCAGTGCTCCCCCTCAGGCTCAGAGCCCCCGGTGCTGTGGCTTTTCCACTCTGCAACTCACACCCGTGACCTGGGACTCCCGGCTGCAGCCCGAGACTCAGAAAAACCCGGTTGAGCTGGGTCCAGAGTCCTGCGGACTTGGTCTGTGCCCGCTCCCTGCTCTCCTGGTTTCTATGGGCAGATGTCTGCCCCTGTGACTTAGCAGCCCCCATTACAGGTGAGCCCCTCCCTCTGACAGACCCCTTCCCATGCACCACCTCTTGTGCCATGTGTTTGGCTCCCAGGGAACCATAGCTGGAAGGGATTCTGAATCCTCTAGGGAACATTGCTGGGTGGAGAGGTGGGGAGAGATGGGGTTGGGGTTTCGGTTGGTTCTGGAAGCTCCCAGGTGGGTGGGGGCGAGGACCTCAGTCAGGCGTCCTCAGAGCCTCTGCGGATCCCTGCTGTGGACCGTGAGAACTGTGGGGAGCAGCCCGAACTGGACTGAGTTACTGGAATTAAGACTTATTTTATGCATCTGCTCTCCCACAATATGGCGCTGGGAGAGAAGTAAACAGCTTCCGCACAGCTGCCTCCAGTTCAACCAATAAACTGTAGGACCTGCTCCTGATTGGAGAGCAGCGTACTCGGCGTGTGGGCAGCCGAGTTGGGATTGGCGGAGGAGGACTATAAAGGAGGAGAGAGACGGCATGCACCAGGAACATCTATGGGGAACATCTAAGGGAACCCGTGCAGCCCCCGAGAAAGCCGGCCGGCGGTGTGCCGCTCCCCTGCGGAAGTGGGGAATGTGGCCAGGGGGAACTGCCCTTCCACGGAGGTGGAAGGGATAGTAGCCAACCCGGGAAGAACCAGCAGCAAACCCGGGGAGGGCCGAGCAGACGAGAGAACAGCGCAGGGTCCTGTGTCGTTCCTCCACGAAGACGGGGAGCGATATAATGGTGCCGTGACTCGGATATGAAGCCTAGGCAGGGTTCGGTGTCGTTCCTCCACGAAGAGGGGGAGCGACAGAATGGTGCCGTGACTCGGATAGGAAACCTAGCTCGGATAGAAAACCTAGCTCGGATAGGAAACTTAGGACGGATATGAAACTTAGGAGGGAAGAAACGGGAAGAAATGGGCTAATATCGGAGAGAGAGACTAGCAAACAGCCTAGGGAAAAGCCGGACAAAAAGGTGCCGGAAGAAGCTATTGAAAGCCTAGGCATAGACTCAGATACGGACTACGGGGGGGGAGGCTGGGAGAAATCTCTAAGGTCGAAAGCGAAAGTGAAAGCTAGAACAAACAGACTCGGATACGGACTGTGGGGAGAGGCCAGGAGAAATGAGGGAGGAATATTGTTGGAAGAAAACTTAGGGAAACATACCGGGTAGAGAAAAATGTTAGGGAAATTGAAGCCGCGGGGGGCAGGCCAAGGCGGACACGAAAGCCACTTTGGGATTCTCAAGTTAGCCCGGGAATGGGGGGCGAAAAGTTGAAACCAGAAGCTGAAACGTAAGCCAGATTGGGATCCGTCTGATTAGCCCGGGGAGCAAAGGACGGGAAGCCAAATCATGGGGCGGAGACGTATGCTGGGTTGAATTCGCCAGGCTAGCCCGGGGAACTTAGATTGAATGCTAGTGGCGGACACGTAAGCTACGCTGTGTTACTCGCGGAAGCCGCCGCGTGCAGAGAGAGCACGGGGCGTGAATAGATAGGGAACGGGGCTGGCGTGAGACCGTGGTGCAGACGCGAAAGGCGTGGAGACCGCGGAGCGCGCGAAGCCAAGCCGCGCAAAGCCGAGCCGCGCAGATGAGAGAGGCTGAAGCGACTCAGAGCCGGCGAGGCGCCGAGAAGCAGCCTCGGGGCGGGGCGAGGCGCCGGGAAGCTGCGAGGCGCCGGGAAGCTGCGGGGATAAGAGAAACAGAAGTTTTAGAAGTAAAGTGAGAGAAATAGGAATGCTGGAAGATAGAAGTGGAATGGGAGAAATAGGAATGCCCGGAGATAGAGAAATAGAGAAATAGAAAGGCCTCCCCTCAACATGGCAATAAGAAGGCTTGGATTCGGTCTGCCCAATTAGTGAGGCGATGAGCACCTGGGCGGCTAGCAGCTTATGCCCCGCAGGTCACCGAAGACAGGCACGAATTAACATCAGTAAGGCTTCCCCACAATACAACAATGAGAAAGCTTGGATTCGGTCTGCCTAATTAAGGCGGTAAGCGCCAGCAGGCGGCTCGACCAGAGTGTGAGCCGCAGGTCACCGAACACAGGCACGCATCAGCGCCTAAAAACCTCCTCACAACATGGCGAAGAGAGGACCCGGATTCGGTTTGCCTGATTGATAGGACTTGTAAGAGCCTGTGGCAACTCTAGCAAGTAGAGCAGAGTGTGTGCCGCGGGACACCGAAGACAGGCGCGTATCAACGCCAAAAATAAAAAGAAAGGGGGATCTGTGGGGAGCAGCCCGAACTGGACTGAGTTACTGGAATTAAGACTTATTCTATGCATCTGCTCTCCCACAATATGGCGCTGGGAGAGAAGTAAACAGCTTCCGCACAGCTGCCTCCAGTTCAGCCAATAAACTGTAGGACCTGCTCCTGATTGGAGAGCAGCGTACTCGGCGTGTGGGCAGCCGAGTTGGGATTGGCGGAGGAGGACTATAAAGGAGGAGAGAGACGGCATGCACCAGGAACATCTATGGGGAACATCTAAGGGAACCCGTGCAGCCCCCGAGAAAGCCGGCCGGCGGTGTGCCGCTCCCCTGCGGAAGTGGGGAATGCGGCCAGGGGGAACTGCCCTTCCACGGAGGTGGAAGGGATAGTAGCCAACCCGGGAAGAACCAGCAGCAAACCCGGGGAGGGCCGAGCAGACGAGAGAACAGCGCAGGGTCCTGTGTCGTTCCTCCACGAAGACGGGGAGCGACATAATGGTGCCGTGACTCGGATATGAAGCCTAGGCAGGGTTCGGTGTCGTTCCTCCACGAAGAGGGGGAGCGACAAGAACCAAGAGGGCCCAGGTGTCTGGGTGGACAGAGACCCGGGAGCTGCCCCTTGCACAGGCGTCCACTGAGCAGCTGCACACTAACGGGGCATGGTAGCGGGCGGCTCCTCCCAAAATTGCCCCAGAATTAGAACCAGCTGCGGGCTGGAAGGAGCAGTCCGGGCATGTCCCCGGGGAGATTCAGGTGTTAAGCACTAGGAATATTGTATATTGAGTCACCTGGGTCCCAGGACAGGTTGCGTCTGGGTCTTGCGGTGGTGTGGGTATTTCATGAGTTGTGAGCATGGGCATTGCGAGGAGCAGGCGTGGGCTGAGGGTGTCCTCTTGGGGCAGGGCAGCAGGACCACTGATTAAGCCCCAGTTAGTTTCTGCCTCGTCATATTCCAGTCCCCTCTGACACCCACATGTGGACGTGGGGAGGTCTCAGAGAACGGGTGCCTTCTGGGTCTGCAAGGTGCAGGGCCACCCTGAGGGCAGGACCAGGAGTGCGCTCTGGGCTGAGCTGGTGGCCCTGGTGCTTGTGCCTCCTGTGCCCAGGGCTGGCAGGAGGGGCCAGGGCCACGGGCAGTGGAGAGAGGGAGGTGGACAGGTCTTCTGTGTGTCCTGTGTGCTGTGGCCGTGGACGTGTGGTCCCGCCCTGGCAGGCTGCAGCTCCTCCAGGGTGGGAGCAGACACAGCACCGCCCTGGCTGACTCCTGCCCCCCACCCCAGGGTCCTCATCTCCAGAGGGGCGGCCTCTGCCTCTACCAGCACCCGCATGTGTGTGCAGGAAACTGCTCAGCGCAGGGCACGCCTGGGCCCGAGGCGTCCGTGACCAGGAGGTGGGGAGCCCAGCACCCTGGGGCTCAGTGCTCTGAGGGCTCCGGGGACTCCCACTAGAGGAACCAGGTGATGTCAGCTCCCAGAATCAGTCTCCTGGACGGCGTGTGGGTGCTGCCGTGGAGACCAGTGTGAGTGTGCCTCGTCCTCACTGCCCCATGCAGAGGACAACAGTGGCTTCTCCGTCCCCCGGGGAGCAGCTGCTGCCTGGGAAGAACTTGTAGCCCTGGGTGGGTGCTCACGGATGTCCCTGAACTACCGCCTCTGCTGCCCGCAAAGTGCCTGGTTTGTAATTTATGACAGATGTCATGTCGAGAAATGTGCACGAAAAATCGTCAGGACTCAGTGACCGTAATGGGCACCTGTGGTCACACAAGGGGAGCAGAGTGCTGGAGCCTGGACAAGAAGCTTGGAGCTGCGCCTGGGCCCAGGTGAGTCCCAGCTCCAGTGCCTGCTACTACCTTGGTTTCCCAACCCGTGGGGTTCTGTTTCTAGGCTCTGTCAAGCTTGCATGAGCAATAGGAGCCACTGCCTTGGAGGGTACCCCCACCGTAGCACCCAGAATAGTTCCCAACTCTCCTGAGCTTCTGAGTGGTGCTGGGTCCTTAGGGGCCATGGGCAGCCTGGGCGGGGTTCTGGGAGCTGTCAGCCTCTGTGGGTCCTGGGCTATGGGGGAGCTGGCTCCTTCCTGTGACCGCCCACTGGCCTTTCCTTTGTCCTTGCCCCTTCTCCTTGCCTCTCTGTCCCTCCCCTGTTGGAGGCCCCGAGCCTGATTTGGGGCTCTCTCTCCCCTTCTTTGTCCTCAGGGAGACGCAGGAGCAGCCAGGCCGGGAGCACCTGCACCTCCCAGAGTTCCCTCTTGTTCTCCTACACAGGGAACCCCCAGTGCCTACTGTGGCTGTCTTCCCTTTACTGACCTCTTGGCTCCACCCCAGCCCAGGACTCCTGCCTCCCTGGGTGTCCCATATTGATCCTGTATGGACCTGACCACTCCCCCACGCTGGGAAATGGTGGTGGTCAAACTGCCGCCCAGGCTGGGGCCAGAGTGAGTGAGGTTATGGCTGCGAAGCTCCCAGCAGTGGACGAGCCCATAGGCGAGTCCTCAGGGCAGACAGAGGCTGTGCTGGGGTTGTTATATCTTAATGTTAGCCGTCGCAAAGCACACCGGACACCGGAGTAAGGGAAAGGGTTTATTGGGAACACCCTACAGACCGGAGTGAAGGGGTGGCGAAGGAAAAAAGAGAGAAAGAGAGTCTAAGAGAGAGAAACAGAGAGGAGGGTAGCTAGCAAAGAGAGAAGATAGAGCAGAGAAGAGGAGAGAGGAGAGCGGAGAGCAGAGTCAAGAGACCAGAGGAGGAGGCTAGAGAGAGCAACCAAGAGAGAGCAGGAGAGAAGGGGCAAGAGAACACGTGTTCAGGAACAGGCTCTTTTAAAACTTTGCCTGAGGGTGGGCAGGGAAGCAGGAGCAGCCAATCCCATTAGGATGGGGGTGGAGCCTGGCTCAGGTAGCTGGACCATGCGGCCAACTGCGCCAGTTTCCTAACAGGAGTCTCCCCCTAGATCTGGGACACCAGGTCTTGCAGGAGACCCCCCCCCCCCCGCATGTTGCAGTGCATTCGTTTCTGGGAGGAGGAGTGTGGTGGGGGCAAGAGGGCGTGGAGTCACCACACAGACCCCGGGAGTCGGGTGAGAGCAGGCCTGGGAGAAGCACGGGATGCAGGCCCCGTGAGCCGTGGCTTTACAGCTCCGTCACAGCACCGCTGACTTGAGTGACAGAACATTTGATGTAGCGTCGCGATGCCAGTGACGCTGCACCATGGTTTGAGGCGATCATTCAGGGGGTGAAGAGAAAGGAGTGGATACACTGAGTCTGCAAAAGGCAAAATTATGGAAGATGCTAAGACTAGAAATGAAAAGGTTTTGAAATATCCTACAGGGTTTAATTTCTCAAAACACTAATATCTCTCTCTTCAACCTAAGAAAGAATTGTGCAGTCTTTGTCTTACTCAAGTGGAAAGGCGCCTGTGCAAACCAGCGTGGGGCAGCACCTGCTGCGGTTTCCTGCTCTGACATCAGAAGGCGCCATTGTGACGTCATGCCCTCTGCCTGCACAAAGCCTTGGCTTGGCCTGGGTTCTGTCATTTGCCCAGGAAGTGCTGTCCGGGTGACCCGGGGCTGGGAACAGCTGCCTGTGTTTCCCTTGTTAGGTTTTTGTTCTTCCTGCTGCTGTTGTTTTAGTCAAATTTGTTTTTTGTTTTTCCATTTTGATTATTTTGTTCTTTTTTCTATTTTGTTTATTTTTTTCCTCCAGCATTTATAGTCTTTTTCCCTTTCTTATTGATTTTCCTTGGATATTTCATTTCCATTTGGATTTTTTCTTCATTTTTTCCATTGGCTTTCCTCTAGTTTGTGATTGTTCTTTATATTTTCTCCCATTTTTGGGTTTCCGGTTTTTCACTTTGAGTTTTTTTCTCTTTTTTATTCCCCCCCATTTTTAAAAATAAGACTGTGAGGCCGTCTGCTTTGGTCATTATACAGTTCAGGTTATTTGGATTTTTTCTTTATGCTTTATTATTCATTTATTTTTGTTTTCTTACTTTTAACTGTTTCGATAGGGTTAGTCTCAGTTGTGAGTCTAGTTGAGTTCATTTAGTTCCTGTTTTCTGTTGGTGATGTGAGCTGAGGTCATTTTGTGTTCTGATTTCTGTTCATTTAATTTAGTTTGTTTCATGTTCCTTTGTTCTCAAGTAGTCAAAGCCGTGAGAGCTGATCTGTGTCAGCTGCTGGCTGGGGGTCTCCCAGACGTCAGCCCTGCTGACCCTTCCTGGGGGAGCCCTGGAGAGGGAGAGGAATCCGGAGGAAGAATCGGATCCTGCTGCTCCTGTTGGGTCAAATTTGTTTTTTCTTTTTCCATATTGATTACTTTGTACTTTTTCTATTTTACTTTGTTTCCTGCCACAATTCATGTTCATTTTGTGTTTTCTCATTTTAACATTTTCTTCCACTAGAACAGTCTCCGTTGTTGGTGTGGTGTAGTGGATACAGTTCATGTTTTCTGTTGGTAACGGGAGCAGAGTGAGTTTGTTCATTTTTGTGTTTTGATTTCTGTTCATTTGATTTCTGTCGTTGCATTTTCATTTGTGCACCACTCGTCTCCCTTCCTGGGAGCCCCGGGAGAGGGAGCAGAATCCCGAGGCCAGAATCGCATCCTGGATGGGGACTTCCCGGGGGGGCGGGACTGACTGCGGTCCCCCAAGCCCTCTTTGTCCCCAGAGGTTCCTGCGTCTCTTGGCAGAGCAGGGCAGGAGGTGTCCATGGCGGCTCCTGGACAGAGCTGAGAAGGCTGTCAGGTGGGACAGGTGCTGTCTGCACGGGGGCGGGAGAAAGGGTTTTCACTGGGAATTCAGCCTGCAGGGGACTCAGCTGTGGCGCCTCTGTGTGCAGGGGAGGGGCCATGGCAGTGCGGGCCCTTCTGTCCTGTGCACAGGGGCTCTGCTGGCCTGTCTGTGGTGGCTCTCCAAGATTCAAGACCCAAAGAAGCCCCAGAAACCTGATCTGCACCAGCAAGAAGACTTCCTGTGGAAGGACCTCTTGGTGGTAAGGGACTCACCCACAGCTGGCGGGGTCACCCCAGACAGCCAGGGTGTCCATTGGCTTTGCATCTGTGTGCAGGAATGGAGCAGGTGCATAGGGAGGGGGGAAGGACTCACACTGATGCCCATGGCCCTCCTTGGTCAGGGGAGAGTGCAGAGGGGCTGTGGGCTTCACCCCTGCCGGTTCTGGAGGCTCCAGCAGCATGAGCCATACCGCGTGGGCTGGCTGTGTGCAGCTCTGTACCAGGGTCTAAGGAGGGGAGAGGCCGCGGCAGCTCCTGACAGGCCCCAGGCTGCAGCAGCCGGGGGTCCCTCTCCTGAGACGTGGAGCCGAGGTCTCGGCACTGCTCGTCCTTGCCCTCTGCCCCAGCCCTGGGCCAGGCAGTGTGGCCGAGTGCCTAGGAGCATCCTCACCGCCATCCCATCCTCAGGACAGACAGCCTGCCCCGGGGTCTCCATGGGAGATGCAGCAGCTCCCACCTGGACAAGGGAGCGCAGACGCTGGGCAGGTGGAGGTGGGGCTGCCAGGTGCAGGGAGACCGTGTCCTGGGCATTTCTGTCCTTCCTGCAGGCCATGGCTCTGTGCCGTAGGCCCCTGGCCCATTCCCATGGGCGCGGATGGAGGTGAGTGCTTTTTTTCCTCTGAGACTCAGACGTCCGGGTCCTGTCCCTCCTGAGAGCCCTGACCTTCGAGTCGGGCCCTTCAGTCCTTGGAGCCTCAACGTTCCCCCTGGGAGATGGTGTCTCTGAGGGCCACAGTGACCCCATGAGTCTGGCACACAAGGTCCTGCATGGTGCCCGACGTCGGTGAGCACGTGAGAGAGGGGACCCGTCTGTGGCTGCCGGGCTCGGAGGTCCCTGCCGTGAGCTGTAGACCAGGCCAGCAGCCAGGGCTGTGCTGGGGCCTGGCAGGGGCGCTGGCATCCCTACAGCTCTGTGCTGTCAGCACTGCCTCCCCGTGTCTGTCCTCGGGGGGCTGAGCCCCAGGGTGGGCATCTCCTCTGGCTTGGATGAGGCACCTGCCACCTCTCTGCTGGTCTGTGGCCTTGTCACCAAAGTACCCTGGGGTGTCAAAGGACAGGAACCAGGGAACAGGCCATGGCATGACAGGGCCCGTGTTCTCCCCTTGTCAGCTTGTCCCTGCCCCAGCTCTCTGACCTCTCTAATCCAAGAGGGCCCTGGGGTCACCAAAGGGTCTACACGGCAGATGCTGGGGCAGAGCTATGTCTCTGGTGTCCCAGGTCTCCCCATCTTCCACGGGAAGACGGACTCCAAGACTTCCAGCCTCAGAATCCTTGCCCTAGTGGTCTCCAGGAGTAGAGTGTCCTTCTTCTTCGCTCTCCCAAGGACAGGACCCCGAGCTTCTCTCCCTGCCCCCAGGTCACCACGAGCATCCACGGGAAGATGGACTCCGAGACGCCCAGCTCAGTATCCTCGCCCTTCCTGAAGAGGTGTTGAATGTACCTCGTCCTCGCTGCCCCCAGACAGGACCCTGTGGCTTCTCTGGCTGCCCCCAGGAGAAACGATCAACCACCATGAGAAGGACTCCAACACCCCATCTTCAGAATCCTCGCCCTTCCAGAAGAGGTGTTGAATGTCCCTCATCCTCACTGCCCCCTGAACAGGACCTCGTGGCTTCTCTGGCTGCCCAGAGGTCACCACGATCATCCTAAGGAAAATGAACTTGGACATGCCCTGACTCAGAATCCTCGCCCTTCCCGAAGAGGTGTTGAATGTCCCTCGTCCTCGCTGCCCCAAGGACAGGACTCTGTGGCTCCTCCGTCCCCGGGGAGCAGCTGCTGCCTGGGAAGAACCTCGTTGCCTCTGTTGCTGCCCATGGATTGCCCTGCACTACTGCCTCTGTGCCTGCAAGTTAACTGATTTATGAGTTTAAGAGAAATCCATTAGGTCATAAATTTGTGGCTGGAGAAACATGAAGGCCTCAGTGTGGGTTCGGGCACCTGTGCTCACACACCGGGGAGGGGAGCGCTGGGAGCCTGAAGGAGGCAGCTTGGAGCTGCACCCAGGGCCTGGGCTGAGTCCTGGCTTCAGTGCCCAAGGCTGGCACTGCCTTGGTTTCCCACCCCCGGGGCTCTGTTTCTGGCTCTGTCAAGGGGGTGTGAGTGACAGGAGCACCTGCCTCCAAGGAAGCCCCCGGAACAGCACCAGACTCCCCTGGCTGCTGGGTAGGGCTGGGTCCTTAGAAGCGATTAGCTGCCTGGGCGGGGATCTGGGAGCTGTCAGCCATCTGTGGGTCCTGGGCCGTGTGGGAGCTGGCTCCTTCCTGTGACCCCACTGGCCTTTCCTTTGTCCTTGCCCCTTCTCCCTGCCTCTCTGTCCCTCCACTGTTGGAGCCCCGAGCCTGATTTGGAGCTCTGTCGCTCCCTTCTTCGTGGAGGAACGACCCTAAGCCCTGCCTAGGCTTCACATCCGAGTCACGGCACCATTATGTTGCTCCCCCTCTTTGTAGAGGAACGACACAGGACCCTGCGCTGTTCTTTTGTCTGCTCGGCCCTCCCCGGGTTTGCTGCTGGTTCTTCCCGGGTTGGCTACTGTCCCTTCCACCTCCATGGAAGGGCGGTTCCCCCTGCCACTTTCCCCACTTCCGCGGGGGAGCGGCACACCGCGGCCGGCTCTCTCGGGGGCTGCACAGGTGTTCCTTCAGATAGATGCTCCTGGTGCATGTTGTCTCTCTCCTCCTTTATAGTCCTCTTCCACCAATCCCAACTCTGCTACCCACACGCCGAGTACGCTGCTCTCCTCCAATCAGGAGCAGGTCCTGCTGTTTATTGGTTGAACTGGAGGCAGCTGTGTAGAAGCTGTTTCTCCCTTCTCAGCGCCATGTTGTGGGAGAGCAGATGCATAGAATAAGTCTTAATTCCAGTAACTTAGTTTAGTCCGGGTTGCTCCCCACAGAGCTCTCTCTCTCCTTCTCTGTCCTCTGTTCCTGTCCAGTCCAGGTGGCCTCTGTTCCTCCCCTGACCTGGGAGCCCTGGGGGTCAGAGCCCTGGGCATCAGCATCCGGGAGCAGATGCCAGGACCTGGCGCAGGGCTCAGGTTCAGAGACAACTCTTTCGCGGGACCGAAGGAAGCTCCTTAGGCCAGGTGCATGGGGTGGAGTCCATGTGAGGACAGCATTATCACAGAGAAATGGTCACGAGTCAGGCAGCTCCCAGAACTGGAGCAGGTGCTGAGGACCCCACTCCATGACAGGTGGGACAGCTTTGCTGGACAACAGGAAATGAGGTGGGGAGATCAGCACCAGGGCTCCAGTTCAGTCCCCACACCTGCCAGTCGGGCACCTCTTAACTAGTTAATTGCTCACAGCCTCATTAATGAACTGCCTCTGGGTCTTGTGCCGCAGCCCCAGCCCCTTGGCCCTGATGAATCTGTTTGGGTAGGGAGTATGGGCCCAATGCCGCTGCCTGGTCCAAATCCATGATTTGCATGAATTTTCTTTAATACCTGGTATGGCCTCCCTGATGTCACCTTTTCATCCCTAGGTGGAGCAGAGGTAGACTAGGTGACGTTTCATCAAATTATGAACGTCCGAGCGAAGGGTCTTGTTAGCATCTGAGTTCCAAGACTCTGTTAACTTTAGATGTTGCCCCGGTCTGGTGTCTCCAGAAACCAGATAGGGGAGGCCGGAGAGCTGGGTGCAGGGTGGAGCCTCTGGGTGTCCTAGGTGCTGGGCCCTCCCTTCTGCTGCCCCCAGACGGGAATATTGAGCGACTGGATGCGGCTTTAGGAGTGTGTGGATCCTAGATGGGAGTCTGAGCAGGCATGGGCTCCACCTCCGAGTGGGCGGCTCCTTCATCAGTGGGGACCTCGGAGACAGGAGGGCAGCAGAGGAAGGGTGAGCTGGGCTCTCTGTGCCTGCGGTCTTAGCTCTCCCAGCTCAGGGTCAGAACCCAGGTCCTGAGTATTCTGATCTGGAGCTCAAACCCGTGGACTCTGTGCTCACGGTGCAGCCTGAGTCTGAGAAGGACACCAGGGAGTGCGGGGTCCTGCGGGCTGGGTCTGTGCCTGGCACCCAGCACTCCTGGTTCCCTGCCTTGCAGACAGAGCGCACTGGGACTACACAGCGCCATCACCAGGTGAGCCCCTCCCTTGCCTGGCTCTCTGTGCTGTGGTCTGGCTCCCTGCAGAGGGTGGTGGGATGGATTCTGAATATTCTGGGGACCTTGCTGGGTGCACTGCTGCGGGAGAGGCCGGCATGGGAGTTCTGGGGTTCGGGAAGCTTCCGGTGGTGCCCAGGACAAGGCTCTCCGTCTGGCGTCCTCAGAGTGCCTGGGTGTCGCTCCCCCTCTTCGTGGAGGAACGACACAGGACCCTGCGCTGTTCTTTTGTCTGCTCGGCCCTCCCCGGGTTTGCTGCTGGTTCTTCCCGGGTTGGCTACTATCCCTTCCACCTCCGTGGAAGGGCAGTTCCCCCTGGCCACATTCCCCACTTCCGCAGGGGAGCGGCACACCGCCGGCCGGTTCTCTGGGGGGCTGCACAGGTGTTCCTTCAGCTAGATGTTCCCCATAGATGTTCCTGGTGCATGCCGTCTCTCTCCTCCTTTATAGTCCTCCTCCGCCAATCCTAACTCGGCTGCCCACACGCCGAGTACGCTGCTCTCCTCCAATCAATAGCAAGTCCTACAGTTTATTAGTTGAACTGGAGGCAGCTGTGCGGAAGCTGTTTACTTCTCTCCCAGCGCCATATTGTGGGAGAGCAGATGCATAGAATAAGTCTTAATTCCAGTAACTCAGTCTAGTCCGGTTGCTCCCCACACCTGGGGATCCCTGCAGTGGGACGTGCAGACCCAGAGGGTGCCTGGGGCGGGGTGGATGGGAACCCCAGATCCACCCCTTGCACAGGCGTCCACTGAGCAGCCGCACACCAACGGGGCCGTGGCAGCGGGCGGCTCTTCCCACTCTCGCCCCGGGATTAGAACCACCTGCGGGCTGGAAGCCACAGAGGCCCGGGCATCTCCCCAGGGAGACGCAGGTGTTCCGTATCAGGGAGAGTTTGTAGTGGTCACCTGGGTCCCAGGAAACGCTGAGCGCGGCCTTGCCTTGGTGTGGGGGATTTTGGGGGTGTGAGTTTGGGCACAGCTGGGAGCAGGCCTGGGGCTGTGGGGTCCTCCTGGGGAGGGCGGCAGCACCTCTGATTTAGCCCTGCAGAACTTGTTTCTGTCTTCCCAAAGCCCAGTCCCACGACTGCACGCTGCACAGAGGGGAAGCCGCAGGGCGCATGCTCCTGACCCAGCGCCCTGGGGAGTCTCTTTCCAGACCTCTTACTGCGCATCCGTGTGTCCAATCAGGAGCTGAGGACGACCGTGGTTAAGAACCCAGGTCAGGGCCAGGCCACCCTGCTTGGAGTCCTGGTTCTCCTGTCTGTGCCTGGTGTCCTTGGCCGTGCAGCGTCTGTGTGGGGCTGGCATCTGTGACGTGGGCACAGGCTGTGAGGAGGCAGTGTGGGTGTGGGTAACCAGCAGAGCACATGTGGCTCAGGTGTGGCCTGGGCGGGCTCACTGCAGTCACCTGATCCTGGAGGCTGCTCCTCGGGGCCTGGGTCCCTCGGCTCTCACAGTGCCCACGGGAACCGCCCCTTTCTGTCTCCACAGGGTGGTGTCTGAGCATGGACACCAGGATTCGGCATGGTGCCTCTGCTGTTCACAACTCCCAGGGGTCTCAGAGCAGGTGTGCACACACCCTGCACACGCAGCCCCGAGAGGGTCTCTGGTGGACACAGCTGGGAGTGGGCGGGTTCATGCAGAGGCCAAGTGTATCTGGCTTGTTAAGAAGGCCGTGCCCCGGCCCCCTGTGCGGAGGCTTTGTCGGGCTCTCACCCCACACTGCCAGCGGGCAGGATGAGCATTGTCTGTGCAGACGATGGGGGTGTTGGTGCTTGGGTCGCATTCATTGGACCGCATTCATTGGTCACATTCCCTGCAACGTGGAGCGTCTCCATGTGGGCAGGCCCGTGGGTGTCCTGCAGGATGCTGGGTCACGTTCTCTGCCTGTGGCTGTGACGGCAGCTGTGGATTCTGAGGTCCTGTCATGACCGGGTCTCTACTATTCAGGAAAGTACTGAAGGCCAAAAGGTCACTGCTTAAGATGAGCCCCAACCAGTCTGCTCCACAGCTTAGATCACAGCCTCTGTCCCCATCCTGGCACAGACACCAGGCAGAGTGACCAGGGTCGTGCGGGAGGGGCCCAGTGTCCCTGATCTTCAGTGGTTCAGGGCTGTCCCTGGGGACGTCCATCCGCAGGCCCCTCCTCCTCCTGTGTGTACAGGGAGAGCGAGTTCTGGCATCTGGATGCCCACGTGACAGTCTGCCTGTGTGCCCTTCCCTGACACCAGGGAGGCAGTGCAATTCCCTCCCTTGGGAGGGGGGCTGAGGCTCCAGGTCCAGGGGCTGCCGCCCTCCCCCACTGGCTCCCTGTGGAGCTGGGCCTCTGCCTCAGGCTCAGCTTGCATTCACAGCCTCAGCTCCACCCCTGCAGACCTGGGCTGGGGCATTGTCCCCTCCTTCACAAACAGGGAAACTGAGTCCGAGATGAAGAGCCAGGCCTCTCCCCAGTGAGCGGTTCCTCCCAGGCCCAGGTGGCTGCTGATTCCTGCCCCACCCAGGGAGCAGCTGGGGCAGAGCCGGGGCGTCAGCACCCGGGAGCAGCTGCCAGCCCTGGGCCCAGGGGCTCAGTGTGGAGGAGACAGCTCCACCTGTGACAGAGGAACGTCCTTAGGCCAGTACATGGAGTGGAGTGTATCTGAGAAGAGCATCATGATATAGAAGTGATTCACGCATCAGAATCAGGTTCTGAGGACTCCTTTGCTGTGAAATTTTTTAGCACCTGAGAAGGCTTCCCATGGGGCCTTGTTCTTCCTCCTGGAGGTAGAAAGAGGTGGCCAGTGATGTT